GGTGGGGGTGAGTGGGTTTGTTAGTGGTGGGCAATGGCCAGAGGAGGGGGGGCACACTTCATTAACAAGGGTCCCTGCATAGTGAACATTTGTATACTTAACCCTGAATTGTACCCCACATCTTTAAAGAAAAAACATTATTTAAGAATAAATAAATAAATAAAAACATTAAAATGTTTTAGAGAACTTAAGAGCTACAGAATTTATAATGTTATTAGATTCATATTTTTCTAAGCATTTGGGTAAATTCTGCATGTTAGAAGCATTAGGTAAAAGAATATATTACATTTGAAATAACAAGTAAAGTTTCATTGAGTTTGTAAATGATACCAAATCTGAATAAAAGGCTGACTTATTAGTATTATTTTCTTGTCACTGACTTGAAACTCAAGAAGTAGGAAGCTTTAAAAGTAGGTGCTGAAATTCTCTAGATGAATAATAAAATAATAAGATTTGTAAATTGAATTTGAGAGCCAGTGTTTGAACTTGTAACTTTAATAAAATCAATACTAATTCAAAATACTAAAATAGCCTCTAAGTTGTTTTTTCTGTGTTAAAAAGTGCCTTTAAGAGCACAAACACAGCTGGGCTCACTCCTGTAATCCCAGCTCACTCCTGGGCTCACTCCTGTAATCCCAGCACTTTAGGAGACTGAGATGAGAGTATTGCCTGAGCTCACAAGTTGTAGACCAGCCTGGGCAACTTGGCGAGACCTCATCTCTACAATAAGTCAAGAAAAATTAGCCAGGAGTGATGGCATATGCCTGTAGTTCCAGCTACTTAGAAGGCTGAGGTGGAAGGATCGCTTGAGCCCAGCAGGTCGAGGCTGTGATGGCTGAGAGCATGCCACTACACTCTAGCCTGAGTGATAGAGTGAGACTCGGACAAAAAAGAAAGAAAGAAACAAACAAAACAACAAAAAACACACACACACAATTATACTGACAAATGAATGGGAAATGATTTTTTGAAAGGAATAATCAATTTATGAGGACATTCTCATACTTTTAAAATCCAAAGTAACATAATATCTAAAAAATGTAAACACTGGAAATATATGATGTAGAAAGTCTCTGTAGCTAGCAGGAGTTCTCAATACGATTGTACATTTTAGTAAATGGGGAGATTTAAAAAAAAATCCTTATACCAAGCCTATAGCCCATATCAAAGGCATCAGAATCTCTGGGAGTGGCACCCAGATACCAATATTCTTTAAAGCTCTCTAGGTGTTTTTCATATGTAGTCAAGTTTGAGAACCACTGTTCCAGGGTTTTGCTACTCAAAGTATGGCTGTGGACCACCAGTATCAACATGGACATTCAGCAGTATCTCAGCTCTGCACCCTTCTCTACCTACCGAGTCCTAATCTGCAATTTTTAGTTTCAGGCAAATTCTAATCTAGGGCTAATTTGCATTTTAACATGATCTGTTATATTTCATATGCACGTTAAAATTTGAGAAGCCTGTTCTAGAGAAAAATCACTGAAAACAATAAAGAAGACTTTTTTTTTTTAGTTGGAGTCTCACACTTGTCGCCTAGGCTGGAGTGCAGTGGCACGCTCATGGCTACTGCAGTCTCGACCAACTGGGCTCAGGCAATCCTTCCCCCACAGCCTTCCAAGTAGCTGGAACTACAGACGCATGCCACCACACCCAGCTAGTGAGAGGACAACAATAGATTTAGGTTAAGAGCATGCTATTGAGAGACCCAAGAAACCAAGAAACTTATTTGCTGTAAAAGTAGCGTTTAGTTCACTATATTTCATATATCCCCACCTCATGTTTACTATATATTTTGTGTATTCCTACCTCATGTATTTTATGAAATCTTAGTACTTTAAATCCTACCTCAGACCCCGTAGAATTAGGCATATGTCGGGTTTTAGGCAGTGTTTGTATTTAGAATCCTTGGGTTAAGCATTGTCAACCCCAAACCAGCAGGCTAACTTATGCTTTTACAACGGGATGTAAAGGATAAAGCGATAAGCCTCTTTCAAACATTCCTACAAGGTGGCACCAGACTTAGAGGAGCCACCTCCTCTCTAGGAGGGCTTTATCACCGGTTTATATCTCAGTGATAATTTACACGCAGTGGCTATGTAAACCTGCAGGGAACAAAGACCTTTATAAAAGTAACCGCCTTGCTATAATAAGCTTGCTATTATAAATTCCCAGAATTAGTATATGATTTTCTACCCCACATTCACTGTATGTGTTTGCAGCATTCATATTTAAAACTTTGTTAAGTTTGGCTTTTGTTGTCCCATAATGACTATGTTATGTTGTGTAAAGGTTAAGCAAACAAGCTTTCCTAAGTAAGCCTTGGGCTGGATCGGTAAACTAAAAGGGCTAATGTAACCCTTTGTCTGCTGGCTCAGGTTACTTCATAAGCAGGGACTGTATGGACCTAACTTATCTAACATTCCACTCAACCCATTACGTGGGTTTCTGTCAATCATGGGCAGCACCCACCAATACCAAGTATTCCCGTACCCATTAGGAGAAATTACCCAATCATGTAAAATCAAGTTTGGAGTTCTTTCCCCTCCCTCTGTAATTGTGCATAAAAACTGCTTGCCATTGTGAATCGGGGCTCTGGTCCCTGAAGCTGCTGCTTCGGGCGTGAGCCCAGACTCGAGCCTGAATAAAGACCCTCGTGTGTTTGCGCCTGAATCCCTCGTGTGTTTGCATCAGAGCTGGCTCTCTGTGGTCTCTATATCTCTCTCATTAGAGTCCCGGGTTCAACACTAGGACTTTTTTTTTTTTAAGGTAGTAGAATGAACTTATAGACCAAGAGGAAGAAGCTAGAAGGGAGAAAGAAGGGAAGGTATAAGACAAAATGATATAATTGGTGGGGTAACATCCCAGAAGAGACGGAAGGAGGAGAACTGACAGTCTGTTAGAAGAAATGAACTTGAACAAGAGAGGGGAATTTGTCTCCTTTGACACTGAATGGAGGAGGAAATGGATAATAGGCTTACAAGCAGGATTGGGGGAAGGGACAGGAAGGTGATAAAGTTACCTCCTGATGGTCTTTGTTTCCTGTTTTTCTTGTGGAACTAAGAGGAAATGCCATTTGCCTAAAACTAAAGAGCCAAAGATGAATCATGGCTATTGAACACACACTATGTGTCACAGAAGACTTTCCATACAAAATCATGCAGAATCCTTTCAATAGCCCTATTACAATTCTGCTCTATAGATGGGGGTGTTGGTACCTCACTGGTTTCTTCTTTGCTCAGTCTATAAGCATCTATCTTGAGGTTCCTTCATGACATCACTCAGCCCCCTGACTGTAAATATTGTCTGAAAGACTCTGACCTCCAGATCTACATTTCT